CCGAAACGCAGCTAGCCTGTTAAGGTGGAGATTTATTGCTTTACTCTTGGTGTCCGGCACGCTCCCCTGCACCTCTGCAGGTCGTAAAGCAATTAGCAGAATTGCACAGCGTCCGTGTAGAAAGAGCAGTAAAACAGTCCCACACGTTTCTTCTTTCCTAATAGCACTTTATTCAAACAGCCGCATGTCTCTAAATTTCGCAAAGCAGTTCTCCAGCCGTGCGATGTGTGCAAGCATGCCTATACTTGATACAGAAGGGGGGGGCATGTCTTCTTCACCTTCTTCTTCGCTACAATATATCCATTTATTTCCAATTGTCAATGTCAAAAGGGACTAAAATCTATAAAATTCATAGAAAATCAACGTGCCAATTTGCTCAATTTCTCTAGGACTCCATGACACCTCCCCTGTCCTCCATAATCCCTCAAGCAAGGTGTCAAGACCCTAATCCTGTCAAATCGCTCTGCCAAGCCCTTCCTCCGGGCAATGCCAGGTGGCAGACTATGCATACATGGACCATTGTCTTCCCATCACTGGTACTCAGGATGTGCTTATCTGCGCATATCTCCAGCTCTGCATATTCCCCCTCCCTCCTCCATATGTTAATCCGGTGTAACCCAATCTCTTCCTAATGCATTCGTGATGTAATCTTTGTAACCCAACCTCTTCTTAATGTATTCATGATGTAACTGGGATGTATTTTGCACTGTATTCTGGGACATGGAGGGAAGTTTCAAAAGTTCATGTCACCCTTTCTCACTGTTCAATCTCGCCTTGAACCTGTCGCGCAATAAACTTGGATCTTCTGCAGCTTGCTCCTGTCTCCGGCTGAGCTCATTTTCCTCCGCAGGGACCCGCGGACTTAGTCCGACGAGCTGGGTGGCAGAGTAGCCTCGCACCCAGATTTTACCGTAACAATACCCAGAGAAAGCCTGCCTACATTAGCATTCAACGGTGCATAATGGGGGAAATTGCCTGTAAATCTGCATATGAGGCAAAACTGCATGTTTGGATGTCTTTATTAGAAGAAAGTCACACTAAAATGATGACAAATTTGCACGAGGTTGGGTTTTTTTAAAATGCAAATTGCTGCAGAAATGTGGAGAATTAAATTTAAAACTGGGGGGGAAATGTGAAACTGAAACTGCAAGATTTGTTAATCTGTAACTGGAAGTCATGGGTTTGGTATAGTTAGATGCGGCTCAGGGCCCTAAAGTACACATGAAAAGACATACATACGCAACACGCATGAGCAGTGTTTGCTTCTTCTGCCAATGCCAACTTAGCAAGTCAGCCTTAGAATACAAAGATTTGCAGGGAAAAAATGTAAGCTCACTTCTCTCCAAGGTCTATATTTATCACAAATTAGGGAAATCAGACCTCGAGCCTTCAGAAAAGGAAATGGGTACTTGCATGCCTCTTGGTTTTGGTTTTTGAGAGCCTTTCTGATCTTCAAACAGCAATCAAAACTTCAGGAAATTCCCACAGTGAGAAATCCATGGGCGGCAAATTTCCCACTGAACATCACGAGTGATTCAGGCAGAGCCTCACGGATCCGCCCAGCAAGAGCTCAGAACCTGAAATGCGAGTTATTGAAAGCTCTTAACTACACAGTTTTATATTCTGTAATATTGTCCCCGTCTACTCCACACACGGTATTTGTTGTGTTTACAAGTATCACTCAAAAATACAACAACAAAGACAGTATAAAGAGTACAATGAGAATGATTGGAAGACTCGTTTCATCAGAAGTCTTTTTTATTTAAGTGTTTATTTAAGTATTAATTAGGAAGATTAAGTTTTTTTAATGTACGTAAATTTGCTTTTTTTTTCTTTCTTTTTTCTGTATTTTCTTTTTTCTTAATTGTTTTTTCTTTAATTTTCTTTTCATAGTATGAGATTGTAAATTCTTTGTATAAGTGTGTAATTTAAATTAATAAAGATTATTAAAGAAAAAGAAAGCTCTTAACTAAATGCAATTTAAAGAAAACAGGCACACCATTCTCTGGTCAGAATGAAAAGAAGATGATCTTGAAAGAGATTGGTTCTGCTAAATGAGATGTGGATAGACTTTTTCGTTTCATTTCAGTATTTATGTGCCACCCAATAGCAGTACATTTGTTTCAGACAAAATGGAAAGTGAGATGACTAACATAGAAACTGAACTCTACAGTTCTATGATTCCATGATTCTATGACTGGGACGAACCCAGGGCAAGGCGGAAGTCGCTGGCTGCCTCCTTCCATTCCTAGCTATAAGTCTCGCCATCACCACCCCCATCAATTAGATTTGTTAGCTGCTTCTTGCACAGAGATTTCCAAGCCACTTACAACATATTTAAAAACAACTCACCTTAGGGCTATGTTGTATACTATACCATGCTGTTTAGCTCATATTAATCATGTCATAATATATTGCATTAATGCAATTTTGTGACAGTGGGGTGTTTATTGGCGCCTCAGTTTAATTAGACCTAACTAACTTGCCTTCGGGACGTGGGTGGCACTGTCGGTTAAACCACAGAGCTTAGGGTTTGCTGATCAGAAGGTCAGCGGTTCAAATCCCTGCGACGGAGTGAGCTCCTGTTGCTCAGTCGCTGCTCTTGCCAACCTAGCAGTTCGAAAGCACACCAGTGCAAGTAGATAAATAAGTACCATGCGCTCTGGTTTCCATCACAGTGTCCCATTGCACCAGAAGCGGTTTAGTCCTGCTGGCCACATGACCCGGAAAGCTGTCTGTGGACAAACGCCGGTTCCCTTGGCCTGAAAGCGAGATGAGCACCACAACCCCATAGTCGCCTTTGACTGGACTTAACCGTCCAGGGGTCCTTTACCTTTTTACCTACTTAAATTAGAAACACAGATTTAGAATTAAATTGAAATAAGAAAAGTTACCAGGTAATATTTTTGGCTTGGTAGTGCTGCACATTCTAAGCTTGCTGTTTTCATCACTTTAGGACTTTAGGAAAGTGTGTTATTACACCTGTGCAGGCTGCCATGGTCTCCTCATTAAACTGCTTTGAGGTTTTTCACAATCAAGCAGCAGACCCTCCAAGTGCCGCTATTTTCCAGGGATGTCCCTGATTTAGATGGGCCGTCCCGGTTTCTGATTTGATCCCAGAATGTCCCAATTTCCTCAGGGTGTCCCTATTTTCATTGGAGAAATGTTGGAGGGCATGAAGCGGTATATAAATTTTAAGAAATAAATGATTTCAACCAAGCCAAATACTAAACAACGTAAAAATGTTCCTCAAAAACATCCTGCTGCTTCTCTGATTATCAGAACCTGCAAAAAGTTATGAGGAGATGTGGCTTTCAAGGAAACAGCTCTGAGCGTGCTCATGATGCTGGGCTCTTCTACAAGACTTTCTGATATAGTGACTGTTAGATAGCCATCAAAACAACAGAGAGGAAGCCTGACCAGAGGGCTGAAAAGCCAGCAGTCTTCCTAATGTTTCATTCTAATATTCAGTTGTTATACTTTTCATATGGTTTTTCTGCCCAGAGACATGTGGGAGAGATATCTTTGTCTTAACTAGAGATCTTAAGACCTTATGGGAGCAGGAAAAAAGGGGGAACCATTATATTCCTATTTTTCTCTTCCCCCACCTTATTTATTATCTTCTGAGATTTTTTCAGGCATTCACATCTCTAGCCAAAGTTTTGAGTTAGGATTGACTGAATGGATTAGAAGGATTTGCTGGAGATACGATTCAAATTAGAATACAAAGCAGAGAAGTGAGAGGAAGTCACGGAAACAAGTAAATGGGAAAACGGTTCTAATGTTTTAATTTTATTTTTTGTTACTTTTTTTTTGTGATTTTTTGTCTTTTGTATTTCTCTTTGTACTGTGTGTTTTTTTTTTTGTAGGATGTATGTGATTTGTTTTTTCTTTTTTACTTTTTTCTTTTTCTGTAATCTTAAAATTGGAATAAATATTCTTTAAAAAAAAAAAGGGAAAAAAAAAAAGGATTGACTGAATGGTGCAGAAAGCTCCTTGGTCAGAGACAGAAATGCCTCCACAAGCTTCTGTAAGTTCTCTGAAGTATAAACTGTGGGGGGGGGGGGAGGAAAGGGTGTGTGGATTTGAGATTTTTTTGGGAGGGAGGATGAAAATAAATAAATACTTGACGCTCTCATTGGGGGATGTGCCTGTTTTAAGCCTCCAGGAATTATAATATCTGACTACGGTTTCATGAATGCAAGTTAGTAAAGGTAAAGGGACCCCTGACCGTTAGGTCCAGTCAAAGGCGACTATGGGGTTGCAGCGCTCATCTCGCTTTCAGGCCAAGGGAGCCGGCGTTTGTCCACAGACAGCTTTCGGGGTCATGCGGCCAGCAGGACTAAACCGCTTTTGGTGCAACAGGACACTGTGACAGCAGCCAGAGCGCATGGAAATGCTGTTTACCTTCCCACCGCAGTGCCGACCTTCCGACCACAGTGCCGATTCGAACTGCTGACCTTCTGATCAGCAAGCCCAAGAGGCTCAGTGGTTTAGACCACAGTGCCACCAACTCCTTATCCTAATTTAAGTAGATATCAGTAGCGATAGGGTGCACAATATATGGTTTACTCCAGGCTCAGTAACAGGTAGCTATGGCATTGTTGTCGGCGTAAACTTCGATCAGACCTAACCATTGGTCATGCTGGCTGGGGCTGATGGGAGTCCAAAATACCTGGAGGTTCATGAGTTCTCTATCACTGAAGTAGACAGTAGGCTGAATAACTGGTGTTTTATTGCTGGTGTTCTGCAATATTCATTTCATGCTTTTTTGGTTAAATCTATTTATGGTCATGAAACTTGTGTTTTGCTGTTGCTCTAGCTCAGAAACGATCCATTCATTCATTTCAAGGAGTCAAAAAGGGTGAGGTTTTTTTTAAATTAAATAGTATCTCAGTTTTATTTCTTGGACTCATTTAAAGGTTACACAACCAACTTATAATAACAGTTGCAGTTTCTCCGCAATGTGCAAAAAAGGAGAATACAGCAAAATAAATATCCACATAAATAAATAAATAAGCAACATTGTTTGAAAAAAAATCATCACGTCACAAGGTATTATTTCCCTTTTGAAATCACCGCTTTGGTGGCAACACATGCAGGATTTCAACATGAAATACGCTATGTACCACGAGAGTGAGCAAACCCATAACAGCTCAGGTACTCTGGTGTCAGATTACATCTTCGATGTAAACATTACCAACCAAGAGAATTTTTATCCTCTCTTTCTTGGTAAACTGGGAGAGGACATTGCCCGCAGGGCCATCCTCCCCCAAAATTCAGGAGCAGTCCATGTAACATACATAATTACACCGGTATATTCAATTATTAACAGATATACATAGTATATATATACAGCTGATCTGAGTTTCTGGAGCTGGGTTCAAAGGAGCACAACTCCCCTTATTTTTGGTATTCACTTATATCTCACAGAACCACATATCTCTGCCTCCCTCCCTCTCTCATACACACACACACAAGCACACTCACAAACCCACACTCTTGTTTCTACTGGGTTATCTATATTTCATCTTTTTTTCCTGAATTGGTGTGACAAAAGAAGCACGCATCCCACATCCTTTCAGACTTCCAACCACACGCCCACTGGCTATATAAATAAATAAATAAAAATAAATAAATAGGGTTGATTAAAAATAAACAACAACAACATAAGTAACACTGCGTCCTATCTCCCCAGAGCAGAAGTAGCCTCCTTCACTGGGGTGCCAATTCAGGGTTCAGTCTCTTGTTCCTCATCCTCAAATTTGTATTTTGAATGATGGAGTAGGAGGACCAAGTGAGTTGTAACTATGGCACAGCAGGAGAGTCTTTTTTCTTTTTTTTACTCCATGGCAACGATCCCAAAATATATCTGTCCCTGTTGGGCAAAGTCCAGATACTGAGGAGATTCGGTTTTGGACCACAGGCGGTCCCCTTTGTTCAACCTGAAGACAGCCCCCTGGTAAATGGATTCGAACCACAAATTCTTTTGGCCCTGGGCGGTTCTTCCGGCCTCACAAGCGGACTTGATGGACTTCAGCAATTCCACGTTGTTGTTGAACTGCGAGGAAAACCACGAGATGGTGTGGCTGAGCAGCAAAGGGGATTCCGGGCAGGTGTCGCTATGGAACATGACCTGAGAGTAGACGAAATAGAGTCCGGTTGAAGGCACCACGAGGGAGTTGTCTCTTTTGTCCAGCTGCATGCCGTTCTCAAGTATGGAGGGCGCCACGTCTGTGGTCCAGAACAGTTGCTGGCCGTGAGCTCGGGAAGCTGCAAAGGGAAGGGAAAAACCAGTCAGCATCGAAGGTTCGTCAACATGTGCTAAGAGGCTTCGGCCTACAAAGTTTCAGTGTTAGTCCCCGAAGGCAATTTTGGTTTGACCTAGCGCTTTGGTGGAGCAGAGAGTGCGAGGCCAATCCTTGCTTTGACAGGCCATTGGGCAAAACCATATTAACCTCATGTGTGTGTGGCCCCAACAAACTCTGGCAGCAACTACATGGGAGAAAGGCCAAGCTTTGGCGTCTCAGAGAGGCTTAACGGAATGCTAAGTGTCCCTATTTTCCAGGTACAGTCCCAGATTTACAGAAGCCATTCCAATTTCTGATTTGATACCAGAATGTCCCACTTTTCCTTGGGACGTCCTCAGTGCTATTTTTCTAGAAAAGAGGTACCAGAACTCACCACGATCCCCACCTTTGTCCTCTTAGAATGACAATGGCGCCCACATGAGAGCTACCAGAACTGAGTTCCGATTGGAAAAAAAAGCCCTGGGTGTTCCTATTTTCATTGGAGAAATGTTGGAGGGTATGGTAAAGGTAAAGGGACCCCTGACCATTAGGTCCAGTCGTGGCCGACTCTGGGGTTGCGGCGCTCATCTCGCTTTATTGGCCAAGGGAGCCGGCGTACAGCTTCCAGGTCATGTGGCCAGCGAACCAGAGCAGCGCACGGAAATGCCGTTTACCTTCCCGCCGGAGCGGTACCTATTTATCTACTTGCACTTTGACGTGCTTTCGAACTGCTAGGTTGGCAGGAGCAGGGACTGAGCAACGGGAGCTCACCCCGATGCGGGGATTCGAACTGCTGACCTTCTGATCGGCAAGTCCTAGGCTCTTTGGTTTAACCCACAGAGCCACCCATGTGGTAAGACTTCCCTATTTTCACCAAAGAAATGTAGGAGAGTATGGAATAGGACACCCCCATTTTCATCAGAGAAATATTGAAGGGGACATCTCTATTTTCATGAGAGGAATGTTGGAGGGTATGAAATAGGATGTCCCCCGTTTGGTGGGTATGTTTCAGTGCTGGATTATGCAGGAGGCCTGGACTGAATGATGAGTCAGGCTGTGGGGAACCCAGATTCAAATGGAAGTTCAATGGCTAAGTTTCGACCAGCCATCATCTCTTATCCTAACCCAACTGGGCCAATATTTTAAAGCACTTTATATGCTCAACAACTCTGTAATCATTTCTTCACAACAAACCCCTTTCAAGCAGCTTAGAAAATAGGTCTCACCTAGGGCATGGGCAGCTGGTTTCCTGGACATCAGAGCTTGCACTTTCATCGTCTGCGGCAACCCTCCTGCAAAGACAAAAAGAGGACAGACGGTCAGACAACGCATCCTCTCAACTTCCTTCCTTTAGAGATCCCACACGGGGCTGGGTTAACCTGCTACTGCAGCATTTTCTGTTTGCTGAAGAACCAGCATTTTAAAATCGCCTGGAGGTACTGATGGTCTAGCCCAGGGGACCTCCGGCTTGTGGGATCTAATGTGCATTTGACTACAACCCCAAGATCCAGCAAGTGTATCACAGTGCAAAAGGCATACGCTAAGCACATGGTGCCTCTGAGCAGTTGCTGAAGGTAGACATTGGTTTTGAGAATCAGAGAGGCTGCTGTACCCAGCATATGTTGAAAGAAGAAGAAGAAGAGTTTGGATTTGATATCCCGCTTTATCACTACCTGAAGGAGTCTCAAAGCGGCTCACACTCTCCTTTCTCTTCCTCTCCCACAACAAACACTCTGTGAGGTGAGTGGGGCTGAGAGACTTCAGAGAAGTGTGACTAGCCCAAGGTCACCCAGCAGCTGCATGTGGAGGAGCGGGGAAGCAAACCCAGTTCACCAGATTATGAGTCTACCGCTCTTAACCACTACACCACGCTGGCTCTCTCCTAAGAACATGGCACCCTCCTAAGAATCCTGGGAACTGTAGTTTGTTAAGGGGGGCAGGGATTGTAGCTTTTTAAGAGTAAACTACAGGATCCTTTGGGGGGAAGCCATGTGCTTTAAAAGTGCGGTGTGTACGCAGCCTCAGAACTGAGCCAAAGTCCTTGCACCCCGAAATCCATTGCCCTGACAGAATGGGGAAGGTTTCTCTTAAGAAAAAAAATTGCTGTTAAGAAGAACTTACCAGAAAATGGGCTTCCCTTTTCCTTAGAGTCCTGAACAAAGAAAGAATTGGGGAAACGGGGTAAATACATTTGTAGCGACAACAATGAACAATACAGTGATAGTGCAAAATGAGCTGGAGCTAGAATGTCCGATATGTGGGAGGCGTGTTTGGGGTAGCCTTCCAAATAGGCAGAACTACAGAGTAGAAAAGAGCTAAGTGCACATTAACTACCCTGCAGAGCTGCAACGGGCACATTTTTGGTGATAAGTCCCAGAGTTGATGGTGGGCTGAGTTCAAGTACATCACCAATTGTGACCTTGTGAACATTTTTTAAAAAAAATTGAATATCACAATCTTGGTTGTTATTATTTTTAATTCGCTGTGGGATCCTTAATTTTAAAAGCCCTTAACTTTTATAAGGCAACGGAGTGCATTCAGTGTGTGCCTTGGTTCTTCAAAAAGTCCCTAAATCTTTCAGCACCCATCAATGGGCTTGTTGGGAAGGGGGGGGGAAGCAACTCAAATTAAAATAGCACGAATTCATTGGTGGTGGTGGTGATTGCCAACAGCTCAGAGCTATTTATTTTATTTTTCATTCATTTATTTTAATCCATTTGTAGCTCCTCTTTTCATCATTCAGTGATGGAGATAAGCATTCCGTCCCTCTCTGAGGATTTAGATTCAGGGGTCAGCAAACTTTTTCAGCAGGGGGCCGGTCCACTGTCCCTCAGACCTTGTGGGGGGCCGGACTATATTTTTTGGGGGGGAAATGTCAAATTCCTATGCCCCACAAATAACACAGAGGTGCATTTTAAATAAAAGGACACATTCTACTCATGTAAAAACACAATGATTCCTGGACCGTCCACGGTCCAGATTTAGAAGGTGACTGGGCCGGATCCGGTCCCCAGGCCTTAGTTTGCCTACCTATGATTTAGAACGTCTTTGCAAATTTCATGCAAACCCGGCAAATCTTTACTAAGGAAGACCAACCCCTGATCTCTTTCTACCTCTCCCGCACACACCGAGAGAGACACACAGAGATACGAATATAGATAGATGATTGATAGATAGATAGATAGATAGATAGAGATAGATAGATATAGATAGATATAGATAGATAGATGATAGATAGATGATAGATAGATGATAGATGGATAGACAGATAGATAGACAGACAGACAGATAGAGATAGATAGAGATGATAGATAGATAGATAGATAGATAGATGATGTAGATGATAGATAGATAGATAGTAGATAGAGATAGATGATAGATAGATGATAGATAGATAGATAGATAGATAGATAGATAGATAGATAGATAGATAGATGGATGTTCCTTACCTGGGATTCAGATTGCTTGAAAGCGCCAAACTGCAAAAGCGCAAAGACGAACGTGGCGCCCAGCAGCAGCAGGAGGGAACAGATGCTGAGGCATTTCCAGTGGCTCTCTTTCTGCGGCTTTTCGCGCACCACCACCACGTTGCTCCCTTTCTCCACGTCGTACACCAAATGCTCGGAGCTCATAGCTGGCTGGTGCGTTTCGGTCAAGAGATGCGCTCCTGCTGCTGCTGCCGCCGTCGCCGCTTGGCACGAGGTGGAAGAAGGATCCAGGGAGGGTTTCAAATCAACAGATGGAGAGCGACGGGCAGATCTTTTCTCCAGGCGGGTTTCAGCCACGGGTTTAGATCAAAAGAGGCAAGAGGGGCGAGTGGACTTTTGCCAAAAGCTACACCAGTTCGGAGGAAGAAAGAAAAGTTTTCGCAGGTGTCTGCTGCGCTCCTGCTCTTCTGCGGCTTGAATTCGCTTTGTGAATGGGTGTTGCTTCCTCTGTCTGCCTCCTTTAACCCTTCTTGACTTCCCCCGCAGCTTGTTCGAGAGGAGAGCGAGTGCTTCAGCGCTGCTGCTGGCTCTGCCTTTTAAACCCTGTCGGGGAGAGCCTTTCAAACTTCCCCGCCCGCCCACAGCGCCAGGCTCCCAAGAGGAAGAGGAAAAATTCTGTAACAGAAAGAGGAAACTGGTAATAGAAAGCCTCGCTGCTGACGGGGCATCCCCCAAAAAAGGCTCTCTGTGGCGGCAGCGTGGTGTTGGTGCTGGTGGCTTGAAGCGAAGGGGAGGAACCCACACACACACACACACACACACACACACACACACACCCTGGCACACACAAACACCCCCCTGGCTTCCAGCCAGGATAGGCTGTACCAGCCCCTAAACTGATTTTAGAACTTTGAATTTATTGTTATTCATGCTTTTATGCCGATTTTTGTGCTGTTTCTTGTTGTATCACAATTAAGTGTTTTAAATTTGTTGTTAGCCACCCTGAGCCCAGTTTTCTGAACCAGGCAGGGCGGGGTATAAATAAAATTATTATTATTATTATTATTATTATCATCATCATCATCATCATCATCATCTTAGAGAGACAACAGTTGACTTGGTGTTTAGCAATTTCCCGTGTTGAAGGAGCAAACTGTTTTGCCGTACAATTGAGAGAATGGTGTTAGCTACAAACCACACATCATCATCATTATAAGTCACTGTATTTCTTGCCCACCCTTCACCACAAGTTCCCAGGGCAGATTGCTATTATAATTATTATTATTATTATTAAAAAATCAGTATTGTAATTATTTAAAACAAGGCCAGAGGCAAAGAGGTGGGTCTTCGGCATTTTGCAAAAGAGAGGTACCACATGCATCTCTGTGGGGAGGGGATTCCACAGCTTAGGGGCTGCCACAGAGAATGCCCTCCCCTGGGTCATGAGCCCCCAAACTTCCAGGGGCGGGGGTGGCACATGAGGCCTGAGATCAGATCTCATGCCTTTAAAAGGGAGAAGCCCGGCTGGGCAGGGCATTGAGTCATCCCTCCCCCTCCTTTTGACATTTCTCAGACCTAAAAGGTGCTGCAAGCTGACTCCTAGGGGCCAAGGTCCCTTCAGAGCCCCCCTTAACATATTTGAGGGGGCTGTCCCCCCCTCCAAAAGTTGATGGGCATTGCCATTCAAATGGGATGTATGCGCAGCATCACGTGATGAATTATGCACAGTGGGGCTTACCTGGGCCACCCCAAATCTTTTATTCAAGCCGTACACTACTGGTTTTCCCAGTAGTGATGTATGGAAGTGAGTAAAGAAGGCTGATCGCCAAAGAATTGATGCTTTTTGAATTATGGTGCTGGAAGAGACTCTTGAGAGTCCCAGGGACTGCAAGAAGATCAAACGCATCCATTCTTAAGGAAATCAGCCCTGAGTGCTCACTGGAAGGACAGGTCCTGAAGCTGAGGCTCCAATACTTTGGCCACCTCATGAGAGGAGAAGACTTCCTGGAAAAGACCCTGATGTTGTGAAAGATGGAGGGCACAAGGAGAAGGGGACGACAGAGGACGAGATGGTTGGACAGTGTTCTTGAAGCTACAAACATGAGCCTGACCAAACTGCGGGAGGCAGTGGAAGACAGGAGTGCCTGGCATGCTCTGGTCCATGGGGTCACGAAGAGGCGGACACAACTAAACAACTAAACAACAACAACAGCATGGCTGCAAGCTGTACATTGGATGAAGACAATACACCAGCACCACACAGATGCTTGTTTCTGTTTTAGGTATTCATTTGTTTGCTTACTAACTTTCACCTCCTCGCATTCTTCCATTATGGAGCCCAAGGCTCTCTGCCTGGAGGTCTCCCATCCAGACCCTGACCAACCCCAGACCTGCTTAGCTTCAGCAAGGTGGTGGCCACATGTGTCATCAGGTGATACCTTGAGACTGCTATGGGCTAATAACCATGCTGCCCTGTTTGGTCATGTTGTGCGGATGCCTGATGATCGTCTTCCAAAGCAACTACTCTATTCTGAACTTAAAAATGGAAAGCGTAATGCTGGTGGTTAACAAAAGAGGTTTAAAGACTGTCTCAAGGCAAATCTTTAAAAATGTAGTATTAAAAATGTAGTATAAACACTGACAACTGGGAAACACTTGCCTGCGAGCCTTTACCAAAGGTGTCATGGGCTTTGAAGACACTCGAACTCAGGATGCAAGGGAGAAACATGCTAAGAGGAAGGCACACTTGGCAAATCCACACCTTGATCAGCTCCTGCCCGGAAACCAATGACCCCACAGTGGAAGGACGTGTGGATCCAGAATTAGCCTATACAGTCACTTACAGACTAATTGTTAAAACCGTGTTTGTGGAAGATAATCTTACTCGGCTACAAGTGATCGCCAAAGAAGAAGAGCACCACCCTCACCTGAAGCCTTGCCTGGCACCAGCACTGGTTTGTTTTATTTTTAATCTGCTAGTCTCATCCTTGTGATTTTGTCTTCTATTTTTTAATCTTGCAAACTGCTCTGAACTTACCGTAGTTCTGATGCAAGGCTGAGTAGTTATATGTTATGCTCTTTATCAGAGGCACTTCTACCTGGCAAATTATCTTGCACATGGTGCTCTCCGTGCATGCGGGTTTTCCCCAGCAACCACACAGCACTTCATCAAATGCCTATGTAAAAAACAAAACCTGCAGAAACATTAAATCTTTATTAAATGGTGGGGAGGGGACTATGGGATGCTATTATGATGAGGATGACGTTTTGCAGAAGCTACGGGTGTAAGAAGGCATCGCTTTCCCTTCCTCCCTGTGTTCATTGCAGTGCTGTTTCTGTTCCCCTGCAGTTCGCCTTCTGCCCAAACCTGTGTTATTTATCACACTGTCCACTGTGACAAAATTAGGAAATTTGCGTAATTCATATCATTTGCATAAAGTATGTTGCCATGATGTTATTCCAACTCGATTAATTTCAGTGCAAATACATTGGAAAAATTGGGGGGGGGGGAGACAATCAATTAAGTATCATTTGCTGACTGAAAGCAACAACAACAAGTATTGATCGTATTTGCTGGGTTGATTTCCATTCCAGTTCTGATGCGAATAGGCAGCTGCAGTTTCTGTTCCTTTTTCTGTTTTCATCAGAATTCTCCAACATCCATTACACAAAACCTGCATTCATGAGAAACAGTGAGTTCTCTCTGAACTGCACCTCATAGTTGCCTTTGACTGGACATCACCATCTAGGAATCCTGTACCTTTTTCCTTTTTCTTCCACGTGGAAGCAGAAGAGTGTTCAGAACCTGCCCTTAAACACACAAATTCAAAAAGCCTTTTTTTGGAATCAATGGCTATGTCTGAAGGCTGTCTGCATTTAAGGGGAGCAGGTGGTGCTGTGGTCTAAACCACTGAGCCTCTTGGGCTTGCTGATCAGAAGGTCAGCGGTTCGAATCCCCGTGACAGGGTGAATTCCTGTTATTCTGTCTAGCTTAACCCACCTAGCAGTTTGAAAGCACACCAGTGCAAGTAGATAAATAGGTACCGCTGCAGCAGGAAGGTAAACAGTGTTTCCGTGCACTGCTCTGGTTTCTCCAGAAGCAGTTTAGTCCTGCTGGCCACATGACCCGGAAAGCTGTCTGTGGACAAACGCCAGCTCCCTCGGCCTGAAAGCGAGATGAGCGCCGCAACCCCAGTCACCTTTCACTGGACTTAACTGTCCAGGGGCCCTTTACCTTTTCTTTACCTATTATATGCATCATTTCGGTTTCTCTTCAGACCCCTCTCAAAGCAAAATCCCAGACTAATCAGAACAGGACCAGCTCACTACAATATAAATACAGCAAGTAAACCATTGCTTTTTACATATTCAGCAAACAAATACAAAAGGAATGAGAAAAATAATACTCCCCCCCCCAATATAAATCATGTGTTGTTGTCTCCTAAGCAGTGACGTACAGTGGTACGTCTGGTTGTGAACGGGATCCATTCCAGAGGCCTCTTCGCAACATGAAAAGAGCACAACCCGCAGTGGCGCATCTGTGCATGCGTGGGTTGCGATTCGCCGCTTCTGAGCATGCGCATGATGTCATTTTGCGCTTCTGCACATGCGCGAGCGGTGAAACCCGGAAGTAACCCTTTCCGGTACTTCTGGGTCGCCGTGGGACATAACCTGAAAGAACGAAACATGAAGCGGACATAACATGAGGTATGACTGTACAGTGGTACCTCGGGTTAAGAACTTAATTCATTCCTGAGGTCAGTTCTTAACCTGAAACTGTTCTTAACCTGAGGTACCACTTTAGCTAATGGGGCCTCCCGCTGTCACTGCGCAATTTCTGTTCTCATCCTGAAGCAAAGTTCTTATCCTGAGGTACTATTTCTGGGTTAGTGGTGTCTGTAACCTGAAGCGTCTGTAACCTGAGGTACCACTGTATAAGTAATAAGAATGCAATACAGTGGTACCTCGGGTTACATACGCTTCAGGTTACATACGCTTCAGGTTACATACGCTTCAGGTTACAGACTCCACTAGCCCAGAAATAGTACATCAGGTTAAGAACTTTGCTTCAGGATGAGAACAGAAATCGTGCGGCGGCATGGCAGCAGTGGGAGGCCCCAATAGCTAAAGTGGTGCTTCAGGTTAAGAACAGTTTCAGGTTAAGAATGGACCTCCAGAACGAATTAAGTATGTAACCAGAGGTACCATTGTAGAATGAAAGCTCATCCTACCCAACCCAAAGTTTTTATGAAGTCTGACTTATATTTTCTTAGATCCCAGAGCAGAATTTGCTCCTTGGTTGGTAATGTACAGATCTGGTCCTGGAGGGCTCTGTTTGACAGGGGCTGAAGCATAACAAGGGAGAAGTTTGCGTCTAGATTTCTTGCATAAAGGCCAACTTAGAAAGGAGTGGGAGACGTCCTCACCAGATTCACAAAGTTTTGGGTGGGTCTGAATGTTATTAAACCTCCCATCCTATTTATTATTAGCATCGGGACCGTCATCATCAGGGTGGGTTACAATAGCATCAGTATACAGTGGTACCTCAGGTTACATACGCTTCA